TTCTCGCTGCAGACTGACAGAGATGAAAAGCTGGCTCTTGATCAAAACACCCCACCCACCATCATTGCCTGGTATCATCCCCACATGCTCTTTCCATCCTTTTTTTTTTTTTACTCCGCCTTGTTATATTTTTCCTCTCCCCTCTTCCCTCCCCCCCCACGCTCCCCTTATTTTCCAGCGCCCCCCTGCTGTGCCAGATCTCTCCGTCTCTCACTCAGTTCACCTCTCATCTCCTTCAAGCTCCCTTTTCCATTCTCATCTCTCCTCTCCTCATCCACGCTGTCTTCTCTCTCTCTCACTCTCTCTCTCTCTCTCTCTCACCTCTTCTCTTCTCCCACTCACCCAAACTCCCACGTCTGAGTAGCAGAAATAGAGTGTTAGAAAAGAGAGCGAGACACTCAGAGAGAACGTTGTTAGCGGGCTGTCATCAGCTCAGGGATCTGAAGTCTGTGTGTGTTAGTCTGCGCTGTGCCAATTTACGCTCAGCGGCCTAATCAAAGGAAGACACACACACACACACACACACACACACACATGCACACACACACATGCACCCATCTTTCCCATGGGACCCCTTTAGTGTTTTTTTCCTTCTGCTGCTGCCTGTGTTCAACTGTGTGCACAAATATCGATGACATTGCAAACATGCTGCTTTTAGAATGACACACACACACAGACACACACACACACACACCAGTCACAGTGTGTGTGTGCCAATCAGTGATTGACATTAAAAGCAACACATACTAAAGAAGAGCAACGAGAGACAGGGGAAGACGGGGGAGAAAAGAGGTGAGACTGAGGGTGTAAACAAATTAGTAACCTCGGGAAGGTAACCAGAGAGAGAGAGAGATGAAAGGGGAACATCAGTAAGGAAGAGGAAGACAGGAAGAGGAAGACCTGGAGAAGAAGGCAGAGAGCCAAAGACGCTGGTCTGAGTCCAGGGCATAAAGCTGAAGAGCTGACAGTTCAAAGACGGGCAGTGTGGGAATGAGAGAGGCGCAGGGGCTGCGGTGAAGGATGGGGGGGGGCACTGGGCTAATACCACAGCAGCACAATTAATAGGCGTTCCTGCTGTGTCTTTCACACTGAAGCAACTTCACTGGTCAGAATCATCCATCTCTCCGCCGCCGCACACCGCAGCCAGCTCACTTTCATGTCTGTGCTCTGCACCAAAACTGCACAAACAGCAAATACTGTACAGTAGATACACATGAGCTCAGACTGGTGAGTCTGCACATCAGGCTCTTTCATCACTGAAAGGCACTTTAAATGTTACCGCCCACTTATGTATTTGTTAATCCAGTTTTTAAATTTCACTGTTTTATTCAAATGTGCTGCACTGAAACATTTCATTAATCTCCTATTTTCCTCTAAACAGGATCTGTAAATGTTTCCACTAAACCATCGCGGCTCAGCCAGACAAGGGGAACTGCTGTCTAACAGCCACCTACGCGTAACACAAACACGGTGATGACTAAGGATGGCGAGGCCGCTGGAAGGTTACAGTGACGTAAGAGGAAGACTGTGACAAGGTGGAGCTTGGAGGGAAAAAAGGTTCCACAGGGACCGGCTCATCCGAGAACAAGGCCTGGAAAAAAAACCACCTCTCCTCTGAGGAACTGAGTGGACGGCGGAAGGCGGCGTCACTGTTTAACAGGAGGACAGCCTGCGCTGAGGAGACTGTGTGGCTGTGGGGCCCAGCACAAAGAGGGCTGTTTAAAATGCAGTGTGTGTGTGTCTGTGTGTGGGTGTGTGTGTGTTGTGCCTTTTGAAGGCCTGCTATCATATTCAGACACCTGGTGGACAATGTTAGGGAAGAATCATCCCTCTGGCCAGACAGGCTGGCCAAAAGGGAAGTGACTGTATGTGAGTGTGTGTGTGTGTGTGTGTGTGTGTGTGTGTGCGAGTGTGATAATCACAAACGTGTCATCATTCTGCCATCATACGATCAGTGTGTCTGTAAAGAAGTGCATCTCACCAGATTTAAAACACACCACACGTCCCAACGTGGACGTTCGTACTATCTCAATGTTCGTGTTCAAAACAACCGAGACAAAAAAGAAAACTCTACGTGACGACGGGCCTCACAGGTTCTAAGGAGGGGGAAAAAAAGTAGACATATTTTAATAAAATGCTCTTATCTTCTGAGATGTATTTTGACGTGTATTACGACTACAACATCATGGCACCACCTTTGGTACTGTGTTTGTGTTACTCTGAGATTTAAAAAAAACAAACAAACAAAAAAAAAAAAAAACATAAATCCTGGTTTAGGTAACTAGGTGCACATTCACTATGTACAGTACACGTGGCCATGTTCACCCGACAGGTGGCAGATCGGGGGCTCCGGGGGTCCAACGAGGAGCTGAGTCAAATCACATCTCATCTACTGTGTGTACAGTTCAGAAGTATTACTGTTAACCATCGCCTCGGTGTCGAATAACTCCATCCACCACATCTGTGCAGAGGGATTTCACATTCCACCTGTTTGTGTATCTAAAATGTAGCCTCCATCACTCTGCTGGTCAGCTGACCGTGTCAACTTAAAAGAACATATTTAAGTATTAGAGCATAAAAGTCCATACCAAACGCTCTCTTTTATGAAACTGATTATTTAATGGTGTATATAAGTATTTGATGCTGTTTAAATGTAAGATGTGATGTACTAATATAACTGTGTATAGTATTTCTTAGAGATGTTTATTTTCTATAAAATGGAATATGTTATTGCTTATAAAATGTTATTAAAAGAATCCATTAATTTAAGAAATATGACCTTTTTCGGGGCGGGGGTTGTCACTTGAGTTTGAAGCATGCCGTTTTATTGATTTCATGTCTCTTTGTTTGGAATTGATGACCCAGCATCACTTTGTTTGACATGTTTTTGTAACGCCAATGTTAAATATACCAGCACCTTTCAATGCTGCTCTGACCAACTCATGTCTCTTTTTATCTCACCGAGCATGTGTGCAAACGTGACAACACTTTTTTTGGACTAAGCTCAGCTAGTAAATCTTCAGAAAGATGCTAACAATAAAGACGGATTTGATGTTAGCCAAACCATTAGACTGACTAGGACAGACGCTAGAACAGTGGTTCTCAACGTCTGCAGAGACTGTCTTACAGCAAACAGATAAACGTTAATTATAACTAGCCATTTATAGGCTAATCATTAGTCCAGCTAACAAAGCCCAGTGCCAAAATAGAAACAGCTAAGAGGTGAAAAATTAGAGACTTTAAATAATTATATATAATTATAATTATAATAAATAATTATTGTGAGGATAAGATTGAACAATTAATCCTAATCCCAAATCTGTCTAGTCTGTGGAATGAAACCAGAATATCCCCTTCAAATCAGTAACCTTGTTGCCAAGACTGCTGCTACAGATAAAAAAAAAAAAAGTCAAAACTGACAGAGAGGAGTTTTAGATTTAGCTGGAATATTCAAACACCGACTTCACCACTAGATGATGCAAAGTTCTACAAAAAGTACTTTAAAACAATAGTATTTATCTGACTGACCACATTCCACATCATCACGTGTCCTACCTACTGTAAATACAAATGGACCCAGAATTGAACCATCTTTAATTCAAAGCCAGAGACCACCAAACGGTTTTCATTACAAAATGTTTTAATATTTACATCAGTGTGAAAACCAAGAAAAATGGAGATGAAAACATGTCACGTTGAAGGACGTTAACACGACCTTCGCTCGACACGATTGTGTTGCATTCACCTCAAACTGACGCCTCTCAGTCCTTACCATTAGTGACAAACTATAAAACATTCAGATCCTGAGACAAACATCAAACATCTGCCAATTCATTTATTACAGTTCTTTCTCTACGAGCACTACAAGAGTAAACTGGCTAAACTGACTGGTTCCGTGAACAACCCCTCATTGGAAAACAATGGTCAACTGTTGTATTTTTTTTACTGTGTATTTTTAAAAGCATGTCATTTGCTGTGAAAAGTGAAACAGAAAATTCACATTTAAACCTCTAGCCGTCATCTGACAACGCCACTGTCAGATGCTGCCAAATGTCTGGCTGTCAACGTTGCACGTTACTCGCTAAAAAGGTCGAGTGAAGCAGACGACATGACGCAAATATCACCGTGGCGGTAACTAAATTTTGATGCCTGTTGCCATGACAGCAGAGTAATGTGGATGATTTGGACCTGATCGAAAGTCATAAATGGTAACCCAGAATTTTTTGTTAACTCTGCTTATGCAAAAATACTGCTTAATCAAAGTTCAGACAGATTATAAATACGTTTTAAAATATGTACACGACAAAACACAACAAAAACAGACCTCCGTGAAAATAAAGCCATAATGTTAATTAATATTGAAATCTGCCTCTCAGGGCTAGTGCAGGTACAGATAGAGCTCTGTGCTGTGGGTCACCAGGTCTCAAGTCATCGTGTCACCGACTCGGACAATGTTTAGACGAACCGCAGGGACGATTCCTACAGGACGAGCCCACAATAGGACCAACTCTGGTGCTGTCCTTCAACTCCCACGCCTTACTCTGCAGCCAATCAGAGATAAGACTTGGTGGTAGAAGTAATTAAAAAAACAAATGTAGTAGAAATCTCTTTCATGCTTTTCACACATACACAACACCATTATTTAAGAGGACGTAATGGCACCCCTCTGTGGATAGTCGTTGTACTGCAGATTAATCTTCTGGCGGGGATTTTTGCTCTTTAGAAGGCAAAAAAATAAGAGCTTGAACGTAAGTGCTGCATGATGTAAGATCGGAGATGGAGCGAGGGACTTTTGATGAAAAGGAAACACCAACCAGAGGTTGATTTACACTGAGACGGTGCAGTTGTGTATGTGTAGAAGCAGGTTTGGTTTTATATGTACACTGTCCATGCATGTCTCACAGCCTCCACCCTCTCCTTCCCCTCCCCTGCCCTCCCCTCCCCTCTAGCTGTTGGTGACCGTGGTGCCGCTCCCCAGCTTGATGATCATTTGCTGGCAGTCGTGGAGAGTCCTCTTGTCGCCGAGCTTCTCCAGTGTACGGGCTGCGTCCGCCAGCATGCCCACCCTCTGACCTGGTGCAGACAGGAAGGAGGGGGGGAGGTAACGACACGCCAGCATCACAGCCTCCACCTGCTCACGCTGGCCTGGCCGCATCTCACACTCTTCTGTACACAAAGAGAAAGAAGGGGGGAAAAAAAGAAGAGAAGTAGTAAATGATGACGTAACGGTGCTATTTTGGGAAAGCTGTTTGATGTGATTAGTCATCAGCAGCCAATCAGACGTCAGTATCGTCTGATGGGATTTAGACCAGTGAATAATTGGTGGAAAAACTATGACAAGCGGATTAGAGCCACTGATTAGATCAATTAAGCATCTCTCCAATCACTACAGCCTCTGTTTTTAGCCTCGAATAATCACACAAATAGAACAAACAAATTTGTGATTTAGAAATCTCTTTGTTATCCTGTAACCTACATAACAACCCTTTGTTTTATACTCCTTGACAAATAAAAAATAACAATAACAATTTCCATCAGAAAATTCCGTTGTAGGACAGACAGCAGCTGCACACACACACACACACACACCTGTCTTGGCTCCGGGTGTCGCCCTGCGTCGCAGCGAGCGATCCAGGAGCTGATGTGTTCTGGTGGGACTGGCTCCTGCCATGAGCCTGGCTGTGGCTTCATGCAGGAACAACTGGAATGAGAGGGGAGGGGGGAGGAGGGAGTGAGATAAGAGGTGCCGAGGCAAAGGAAACCCAGAGAGAGGAAGAGGAAAAGGAGGAGGAGCAGAGTGAGTGATGATGATGACTCATACAGAATGTTAAGCTCTACCTGGGAGACACTTTGAAGCTTTGTGAATAACACTGCTAAACAATTGCCCTAAGGTGTATGTGTGTGTGTGTGTGTGAGCGCTTCTGTGAGGATGTGAGAGAGAGATTTTTACATCTGCATCTAATTTCCACATAGAAATCGTGGACAGTCTATAAATATATGCAATGGAAGAATTTTAAAATACGATCTACAACGAGACTGACAACGTGACAACTTATAATATTTCATTTTTCATCAATATTTCATTGTGTTAAAGAACTACCAATACAGACAATAAATCAGTCAGCCATAAAAGTGAAGCAGGTTCAAACACCTGCACATTTGTTATATCTCGCTCATATTTTTGTTTTTGTTTTGCATCATCCTCATTAACAGTGGCCTGCACGGCCCACTGAGCCAACCAGCAGGATAATTA